GATCTCCTACATAACCCAGGGACCTACTGTAGCTTGTTTTCTAATGGCTGTGATCAATATTCATTAACTTAACCAATATTTATTGAACACCAGCCACTGGGTGTTAGGCACTGTTCTTGACACCAGAATACAGTGGTGAGTAAAACAATCAGTCCATGTCCTAATGGAGCTTACATCATGGGAAATACGCAGACAGTTAGATCAGTATATAATTATAAATTAAAGTAAATTTTATAAGGGTGCTTAAAATGGGGATTTAATTGAAGTTGGGATTCACAAAGACCTCTCTAGTACTTGAAAACTAAAGGTTAAGTAGTAGTTAGCAAAAAGAAAAGGGTAGAGAAAATTTCATACATAATCTTGCTGGAATGTAGTGATGGAAGCATGGAGAGAGCATTATTGATGAGGTGGAAGATTTATAGACCATATTAAGGATTTAGCTTAGTGGCAAGCTAAGGATTTTAATATGAGTGATAATGTGATCAGTTTGTTGTTGCTGTTGTTTTAAAGAGCAATTTTAGGTTCACAACAAAATTGACTGGAAAGTAGAGAGAGTTTGTGTTTTAAAATATTTTATTATGACTTCAGTTTTTCCTTTATGATCAAATATAATGATGCAGCCCTATAAAACCTTTAATTCCATATATTCCATTGAACATTAGGAAGAAATATCAGGTTACTTTCTTGATAAAACAGTGCTTCCCTCAACATTTAGAAACCTATAAATCCATCCTTGCAAAGCCCTGTATATTTCTTTCCTCTGAGTGAAGACCAGTGTTTTATGCCTCTTGTTCCAAACACTGCCTATTTATTATTTATTTGTTAGATTTCATAGGCACACTCGTTTGTTTTTTAAATGATCACTTGGGTGACACAACGAGAATGATACAAGAAGACTTAAGCTGAAGAAGATTATTCAGATAGGCCTTTGCAAACGTTCAGGCTAGAAATGATGGTGACTTGAAATTAAGTACTGTCATTGGAGAGAAAGTTATTTAAAAATAAATGCTATGCTATATCAACTGTAACTGAAAAATCAATTTTAAAAAATTGATAAAGTTCATGCTAGTAGTTGCAAAGATTTGTGTGGTCTTTGGCTTAGAATGTTGGCCTTGTTTAGTAGAAAGATAACTAATTAAAATGTTGGCCTTGTTTAGTAGAAAGATAGCTAATTACAATTAGGTTCTAGCTATTTTAATTAATGCCTTTCCACAAAGAAGTGTGGCATTAACATGTCACTGGTTTTGATTAGCAATTTAATAGAATTTTCATTTAAATCACTTACAAAGATGAATAAGCTTGGGAAAATTCACTTTTAATTTGAAATCAGAGTATTTTTCCTCCTGAATAGAAAAGAAGTCCCTGCCATTTGATAAGAATTCTCCATTTCATATTCTTTTCCTATATTCTTTTTATTCTTCATTGCAGTTATTAGTGCATCATCATTTTTGAGAGTGATAATTATTCAGCTTTAAATGTGTCATTAAAAACATTCATTTATCAAAAAACACTTAAGCATGTTTTCCAGTCTACAAAGTTGACAGAATTTTACTATCTTTCTGAGTGAAACATATTGTATCATTAATGGCGATTACACAGGACTTTATGTTATGCTTGAACGGATTCATTTAAAAAATACCAGTTCACTTTTTGGATTCCACTAGCTCTTTTAAATAGTCTAAGAAAGTAATTAACAGAACAAATGTAAGTATTATCTAACATCTCAATATGTTGACTTACACTTAAATGGACATTTGTCAATAAAATTAAATTCCACAACACCACAAAATATAATGCATATTATATTTCTCTTTATTAACCTTTTCAGCTCTCACACAGAACGGTTATTATATATTTGAGTTTAAAGACATATTCTTCAATCAGGAGCTATTTATATCCCTGCCATTTTGTTAGGCTGATAAGATAGTAAATTCAGGGTTAAATATTGGCTGATTATTGTTCCTTAAATAATAGACAAATACTATGCATGTATGCCTATATGCAATTTCCTCCCCCACTTTGCTGCACAACAAAGATGGAAAGAATATACATGTAATTGAGTCAGGGTCTCCATTTCATTTAGTTCCTTTTCTGGAAATTTGTCCTGTTCTTTCATTTGGGACCCATTTGTTGGTCACTTCATTCTGGCTGCTTCCCTGTGTTATTTCTATGTATTAGGTGAGATGCTATGTCTCCTGAACTTGGTAGAGTAGCCTCCTGTAGAAGGTGTCCTGTAGGATCATAGTCTACCCAGTCACTTGAGCTGGGTGCTCTAGGTGTGCCCCTTTGTAGTTGAACCTTGATTTCTGTTGGTAGGTCATTGCGAGGGATTGACCCACACACTGATTCTGCAGCAAGGACCAGCTATGACTAGGGGAGGCCAGTGGTCTAAATTTTATAGGTGAGGAAGAACTGAGAAACTGAATGACTTGACCGAGATTGATTAATTATTGTCAGGTTTAATATAATAATCCTGGTCTTTAAATAAATCCTCTTTCTATATTCCAAGATGTTTTCATATGTTAATTTTTTTTCTTTGAATAATTTTGCCTTGAATTTCCTTATACATTTACTTAAGAAGATAAGACAATCTTTGGCAAATTATTTGTCATGATGCCTGTGACTTCTCAAAAAGACAGATCCAGAGTGTTTCTTTTTGCACTTGCTTATTTACTCATTGAATCAAATATGTGATGGAGGTGAAATAGCACAAAAAAGAGGAGCTTGGAGAATGTCATATTAGCATACTCTAATAACATCCTATATAATAAAGGGCTAATATGCTAATTAGGCCAAACAGCAGAACAACCGTCCAGGTGACCTTCCAGATGGCTTTCCGGATGAAGCCAGGGCTGTGAGGGCCAGCTGAAGCAGGGAGAGCTGCAAGGGCCGAGCCACTTGCACTAATTTCATGCATTGGGCCTCTAGAGTATATTAATAATATGATAGATCTAATGCATATTAATAATATGACAGATCTTAGTTATATACTCTTTTAATATATCCAGTTACTGGATAATTCCCAGAGAGATGATTTGTGTAGAATATTCTGAAGTGTAACATGATAAATGTCAAATTCTGAGTTTTCATATAGCTGTGTGGGTCACAGTATAAATTAAAACACTTCCCTGAAATGAGAAATGTCTTTTAAAGATCAAATTTATTCCAATAAATAAAACTTACTGTGAATTTTGCATATATCACAAAGATTTTGTTATAATCAGCTGTCTATTATAATTTCTTTCAGTGATGACTGGAAATTGAGTATTGAAACAGTAATTGTGTTTTCTGTTCTAGTTGACCTGATGAAATATTAAAGTCATTAGTAATTACAGTTAATCAACATCATGAATTATTCTTACAGTTATTTAATCATAGGTTTTTTTTTTCATCACTGTATATGTTTTTCAATTTTCCCTCCATCTCTTTCCTTCCCTTCATCTAATTTTCATTTTGTCTATTGGTAGAAATGTAAAATAATCTTACTATGATCATATCTAAAACATTATTAGTCAAATATGCTTTAAAAGATGTATCCCAAAACCGAATACATTATGTAGTGAATATTAATGATACCCATTGTGCTTTCCTCCCTCCTTCTCTTTCTTTCTCTCTCCCTCTCCTCCCCTTCCCCTCTTCCCTTCTTCTTTCTCTCTCTTTCCTCTTTTTCTCTTTCCGAGGAAAGAAAGGAAACAAGTTGTAAAAGAGAATTCTTTGAGCAAAAAGCAATTCTAATAGAACTATATTATGGGGGACTGCATGAGAAACAAAGGAGGGAAAGAATTGAGGGACAAGATGCCATGGATGTGTTTTAATGGTATAAAGTAATGAGAGAGTCTTAGGACTTTAGAGATATTAGAAAATAAGAGAGCCCAGCTGGTGTTGCTCAGTGGTTTGAGTGTCAGCCTATGAACCAGGAGGTCACAGTTTCATTCCTAGTCAGGGCATATGTCCAAGTTGTGGGCTCAATCTGTAGTGTAGGACGTGCAGGAGGCAGCCGATCAATTATTCTCTCTCATCACTGATGTTTTTCTCTCTCGCTCCCTTCTTCTCTGAAATCAATAAAAATATATTAAAAAGAAAGAAAATAAGAGAGAACACCTGGTTTTAATAAGTTGCTTTGTATTAATACTTAGATACCACTACCTTCAATCTCCATGCTTACATAGTTTAAGAGTAAAAGCTGAAATTCTCACCTATCCACACATGTTTAAATATGATTTTGATAAGAGTGTGGGCTAGGAATATGGCTTTGTGAGTATAAAATTATTTGTTCATTTAATTAAAATAGGAATCTAAAGGCCAAATGTGTTGACATTAAAATTTTTATTGCCTTTTTATATCTAATTCGGTCTCAGTTAATAGGTCTCAGTTAAAATATTATAGTATGTCACCTTTTACATACATATGTATATGTCTATATTTATACACATTTCACACCCATGTGGACATACACCTATCAGTGTATATTAAGAAATAATGGGAGGATAAATCATGAAATAAATTCTCCCAAGTGGTTACACCATTTTCAGTGCCACTACAGTGTTAGAGAGTTTCATTTGCTCCATATCCTCCCCTGGTGCTGTTAGTCTTTTTGATTTTAACTGTTCTGGTAAGTATGAAATGTTATATCATTGTGATCTTAATTTACATTGAATCATGCTGAACCCTTTTACACATATCTATTTTCCATTCTTATTTCTTTTTTGTGAAGTATCTATTCACTCTTTTGCCCATTGAGAAGGGGTTATTAGTCTACTTATTTCTGATTTGTAGGAATTTGTATATATGTACTCTGGTATCCTCTTATACTATTTGAAAATAACTAACATAAGGATATATATATATATATATATATATATATATATAAAATACTGATGCAATTAATATTTCTAAACTGGCAATTTCAGAAGGAAATTAATTAATTAGTATTTAAAATACAGACTTCATAGTTTTAAATTTAAAACAGAAATTACATTCTATTCTGTTTTTGGTTTCAGGTGCAGTTAAAAACTAGCATTTCTAGTCAGTACGTAATTCGGGCACAACCAACTAATAGGTGCCTGTCTACACTGGAGTGTGCAGCTGTTGCTCTTTCCATCTTAGAGAAAAATAATCACATACAAGAGGTAGGTATGTCTTTGAAAGATTATATAGTTTTTGAAAATAGAAGTTTGATTAGATTTTATCTAGAAAAGTTAGAAATATATAGCTTGTTAAGTTTGTAGCTCAAGTGACAAGTATAATGTATCTGTGATATAAGTTTGTGGCTTAGTTGGTTGGGTGGCTTAGTTGGTTGGATCAGTCACCATTAGACCAAGGACCCATTAAAAGTTCAAATCTTGAAGGGAAAATATAATATTCTTTGTGTGTAGATTTAAAACTTTCTTTCCTTGCCCTGACCAGCTGGCTCAGTTGGTCAGAGCATCTTCTTGTATACCAAAAGGGTGTTGATTTGATTTCGGGTCAGGGCACATAGGTTGGTTTGATCCCCAGCCTATTGATGATGTTTCTCTCTTTCCCTTTGTCCCTCTCCCTCTCCTTCCCTTCTTCTCTTTCTCTCTACCTCTTCTCTTTCTTAAAAATTGAAAATAAAATCCCAAAGTAATAGTCTCATTCTCTTTGCTTTTGTCAGCAGTTATAGGAAAAGGATGTTTGACAATCAGACATGTGATCTGGGAGATACCAATAAGATGGTTGGTTAAAGTATGAGCAGAAGAAATGCAAAATGAAACATCCCAAGTTGCTTATTACTGCAGATGGCAAAAATGTAGCTTTCTTAGTGGGGGCACCCCAAGTCCAACCTGTTCAGATCTAGCTATAATTTTAAAAAATTGGTACATTCTTCTGAGAAACATAAAGGTGTTTTCTCTTTTTCCTTTGCCAACCCTTCCCCCCCACTCATAACCTTTAATTAATGGCATCGTTTAGAACCTTAACATGATGGGGGAGAGAAGTAATTTTTCAGCCTGCTTCATTCTAGAGAGGTAGGCCTCCTCAAAATAATAGCTTTCTTAGTCTGTTGATTTATCCTCATCCTTTATTCTTGAGTAGTTTTTCAAACACTTGGAAGTCTAGCATGATAGGAGCTTTGAAGCAGGTTTGAATTAAAACTTCATCATTTATCATCATTATTTTTTGCCAGTGGGCAATTCTTGTAATCTCTTAATGCTTATTTTCTTATCTGTAATATAAGAACATTAGTTACCTCATAGTGTTGTGAGAATTAAATGGAATAAAGTGTAATTGCCTGACATCAAGCACTCAAAATAATTAATCCTTTTGCCCTTCCTTGTCCCATTGATAGGATTGACAAAATTTGAACTAAAAGTTGGTGATTTTCATCAGCTGCAATAATATTTACCAGGGTTTTCATACATTGGAAATCTTGAGTTTAGGAATCTTTTTTATTATAGAACCCCCTCTGTTTATGAAGTTTGACCTTATGAACTTTTATAATCAGATGTGGCCAAGTTTTGTGCTGTAGCCCAAGTGCTTTAACTACACTCAGCACCGGCAGTTGGTAATAATGATCCCTTGAAAACTCACTCTGTACCTATAGACAAAAGGATTTACAAAACACGGATTTCCCCTCAAGTAACCTTTTAGAAACTATCTTGTTTGTTTTATAAATAGAAGATTTTCTTTGTTCCTGATATCTAGTCCATCTCTCATAAAGCTTCAGAGTGCCTCAGATACAATAAATATAATGTATATCTGAAGAAATCTGAAACACTGATACGAAAGAGTGTATGCAGCCCTATGCCTATTGCAACATTATTTACAATAGTCAACATTTGAAAGCAGCCCAAGTGTCCATCAGTAGATGAGTGGATAAAAAAGCTGTGACACATTTACACAATGGAATACTATGCAGCTGTAAAAACGAAGGAAATCTTACCTTTCTGACAGCGTTGGTGGACCTGGAGAGCATTGTGCTGAGTGCAGTAAGCCAGTCAGAGAAAGATAAGTTTCATATGATTTCACGAACAAAATAAACGAACAAAATAGAAATAGACTCATAGGTAGAGAACAGACTGATAATTGTTAGAGGGGAGGGAGGATGTAAGGCTGGGTGAAAAAGCAAAAGGGATTAAGCAAAAAGCCCCCACAAAATAGCAACACCTCATAAACTCAGACAATGACATAGTGATTACCAAAAGGGAAGGGGGGTAGGGGGAGAGGTAAAAGGAGATAAGGGGATAAATGGTGATGGAAGATTTGACTTGGGATGGTGAACACACAATAAGTTATGTAGATGACGTACTATAGAATTTTATACCTGAAACATATAATTTTATTTAATGTCACCCCAATAAATTCAAAAAATAGGCTGATTTAGGCTCCCGTAACTTAAAAACCCAACATTAAAATGACTAATACAACAACAGTGTATGTCTCTCTCACACTGCCTATTCATTGTGATTGCCAGGGGTTCTCTGCTCATTGAAATCACTTAGGGAACCAGGCTGATGGAGGCACTATCTAGACATGTCATTCTATGTTCTTCAAGGAAGGAATAAAGGGAGGTGGTCAATCATATACTGCCTTTAAAGCTTCTGCCCAGACGTGGCATGCATTATTTGTGCTGACACTCCGTTAACCAAAGCGACTTATATAGCCATGCGTGACTTCAAAGGGGATTAGAAAATGCAGTTTGATCATGTACCAGGGAGGACTGGAACATTTGTGACTAGTTCTAGTGGCTGGTAGAGAGATGGAGAGGGGATATAATTCAGATCTTTCTATCTCCAAAATTCATTCTCTTAATCACCACAGAAAGTTAATAGATGCTTATGTTCAGGATGTAAAAGTTAGAGTCTTTTAACCAGAGGAATGTAGTATTCTTCTGTCTATGCAGAATTTAATAAATTTCATAAAATTGAAATAGAACCTTCAATTGTCTCAGTCTGTACATAGTCCTAGATATGTTTCCTAAGTACAGTGATGCAAAACCCAATCAGTCCACTGTGTTGACTCTGTAAAGTAATATGTAGTCATCTCTAAATTTCCTGTCTTGTTTGAAGAAATTAAGATGTTAAATGAAATTATAAGAACATTAGGGGCCCAGTGCACGAATTCCTGCACCTTGAAAGGCACATGGGCATGTCTTGGTCCATCCTCTGTGCTCCTACCCAGTCCCTCCCGCTGCAGCATCTGACCCCCTCTCTACTGGCAGCCCCGCTTCCACCACTGCCGCTCCCACATGCTAACGGCACCAGCCCTGCTCGCGCCCACTGACAGCACAGAGCGATTGGGGCTGGCTCCAGCAGCAAGTGGGAGTAGCGGCTGCTGCCCCCTTGGCCCCTCAGGAACAGGGGGAGATGGAGAAGCCCTCAGGGGCAATCAAGGCCGGCAGCCACCACTCACACCCGCTGACAGCGCCAAATAATTGGGACTGGCACCGGGTGCCAGCAGCAAGTGCAAGTCCCGGCTATGGGTACAAGCAGGGCCTGTGCCAGCAGTGGGTGCTAGTGGGGCTGATACTGGTAGTGGGTGCAAGAGATGGCTGCTGGCCCCAATCGCCCCTTAAGAGCAAGGGGAGGTGGAGAAGCCCTGAAGGGAGATTGGGGCCAGCAGCTGCCATTCACACCCACTGATGATGCCGAGTGATCCGGGCTGGCGCCAGACACTGGCAGTGGATGCGAGTGCGAGTACAGGGCGAAACACGGCACACATGGTGCATGGGAGCAAAGAATTTTCAGTAGCTCGCCCTGATGACAGTAACTGGCACTTCACCTTGGTCTGGTGGCGAGCCTCAGTTGTTCCACCATCCCTCCATGGCTGACACCCACCATGTTTCCTGCTCTGCTGTCTGCTGCCAACATCTGCCATGGTTCTCGCGTGCCCCCTGGTGGTCAGTGCATGTCATAGTGACCGCTTGGTCAGTTGTTCTGCCCTTTTGCCTATTTGCATATTAGGGTTTTATACATATACAAATCTAAGGGGCTTTTTTCAACAGTGTCATGCAGAGCTTTTCCAGGATGTTTGTCTTATATAAGGGAGCACTTACTGCAGTGGATGAACCATAGAGCAATTTCTTTTTTCTGGTAAATAAGTAATGCTGAGGTGAACAGTCCAGGGCTGGCGATGCATTAGAGGCCGAGATTGTTGGTTTTTTGTTTTTGTTTTCCTATTTTTCTGTTTATTATCATATATATATTTGGTTCAATCTTCATGTTTCTTGCCCTGTAGTCACAAGGTGGTTATTCCATCTCTAACAATCATATTTCAGTCCAGAAGAAAGAGCAAAAGCCTCTCCTTTTAGAGAGAATCCCTGGCAGTCCCACCCAGAGACTTCCACTTACATCTTATTGGATGGACTGTGTCATTACCCAATGTCACATCGCTAGCTGGGCACATTGCCACCTTCAATACAATTTCTGATTTTTTTAACCAGTTAACTGCCACACATCCAAAATGGAAACCATTCCCACACGACACAATATTTTGTCTTTAATTTAAAAAAATTATTTTTCAATGAATATTATAAAAATAAATATATGACTCACAATTCGGGTGTTCTTAAATATTTTCAGTTGAAAATTCTCTTGAAAAAATGATTTTTAAAGTAACTATAGATGCTTATGGCGTACAGAGGATTAATAAGGAAGAAAAATGGATATGAAAAAGCAAATACCAGTGACTGCTAAAATTTGTAAGAGTTCATTGTACATTAAAGCTATTAAGAAGCCTTTTCTACCACTTGTGTTGTATATGTGAGGGGATAATTTTTCACACAGACATTTAAAAATTTTTATAATTAAATCTGTGCGTTTTGTTGTTGTTGTTCCTTTTTTTTAAACTGCTCAATCAAGTTTTGCTATTATTACTTAAAAGAAATAGATCAAGGATCTCAGGCTTAAGGAAAGAATCTGACTCAAAATATGTTTAAAACACTTAAATCTCTGAATGATATAAAGCACTGGTAGAGTGTTTTTACTTACAATTTTAAAAATTTTTCATAACTTTAGGAAAGGTATATGCTCCAGATATTTACAACCTCCACCACTCTCTGTTATCCTATGGATCCACCCAGTTCACATGCGTATGTTAAAGGCTGGCCTTGTAGGTATTTACATTTGGACTGATGTGTATACAGTTAGGATTATTTCGATGGCATGTGATCCATATATTAGTGTGCTTTAGTCAACTGCTTACCCATCACTGCCATCAGCTAATTGTTATTAGGTAGCAGGAAGCTTGTATCTTTCTGTTACTGAAAATGAATCAACTCATCTTCATTATCTAAAGGTCTCTTGCTGTCTGTTTGTTACAGATTAAACACTTTTGTAGTTTTTGAGTATCTTAATGTATAAAACTAAATTCCAACTTTTTCACATATATGGAAAATCAATTTGTGTCTTTTTACTGGAGTTACTTAGTGGAATGTAATGTATGAATTTAAATAAATTACTTATTTAGAAATCCCATATCTTTATTAGAATATTTGTTGATCTTCATAGTTAAAAGCTAATAATAATAATGATAATTAAGATAATAATGCTTGTTTCTGAAGGAAAAATTTAGATGGAATATCATAACTTGTCACAGACACATTTTTAGTATTTTTTTTTTTTTATCTTAACAGACTTTACTTCGCCCTCTTCGAGCTTTATGCTCTTTCCAGCTTCAGCATGGTGCTCAGATTCGCCTCAGCAAGGAACACCTTCTGAAAAATGGATTATATCCTAAGCCGATGCCAAAGAACAAACGCAAACTCAGGAAGATGGAACTGTTAATGAACAGTGTTAAAATTTAGCACAAATGGTCTTATGATGCTCTTTATGGTGTCTTCAGTTGACAATACCATCTTAAGTTTTTTTGTTTGTTTTGTTTTTATTAAATTTCTTTATTGATTAAGGTATTACATTTGTGTCCTTATTCCCCTATTACCCCCCACTTCCCATTCATGCTACCACCCCCCTGTCTGTGCCATTTTAAGTTTTCATACAACTTAAGTCTCTGGGGGTTTTGGTTGTTTAAAGAATGAGGGTTGCATACTAAAGTTGTCCAGAAGAAGGACATAAGTCAAATAGCCATGAAAGTAAATAGACAAGTAAAATTAAACTGACTCAGTAAAAAGCAAGATTCTATGCTGTATTTGCTTTTAAAAATGTGCCTCTACTACATTTTTTCAAGTTCATAATTGAAATGGGATTAGTTGTTAAGCTGGGTTAGAAGTACTTTTTTAAATGGAAGGAAATCCTTGTGCCTAATTGGGACAGTAATGTTTTCATTACTGTTTTATAGATAATTAGGTATATACATGTAATAAATGACACCTCCATCAATTTGCAATAGTATACATGGACTTTATAGTTTAAAATAAATATAAAAAATAATGATAATCAAGTAGTTTAGATTGAACTTTTTATTTCATAAAATAGTATAAAGAATAAGGAAACTAAGTATTTTTAGGGATTAAACTTGAACTCAGTTAATGTGTTTAAATGCTCTATTAATGCTCATAAATTTTTTTATTATGGTATAATTGACATAATACTAGTTTTAGGTATATAACATAATGATTTGATATTTGTATATTGTAAAATGGTCACTATAACACATCTTGTTAATATTCATCACCATACATAGTTTTTTCTTGTGATGAGAACTAAGTTTTACTTTCTTTTTAAAAAAATATTTTAATTGATTTAAGAGAGGGAGAGAGAGGGAGAGAGAGGGAGAGAGAGTTAGAAATATCAATGATGAGAGGGAATCATTGATCAGCTGCCTCTTGCCTGCCCCATACTGGGATCAAGCCGGCAATCTGGGCATGTGCCCTGACTGGGAATTGAACCATGACCACCTGGTTCACAGGTCGATGCTCAACTATTGAGCCATGCTAACTGGGCCTACTTTCTTTGCAGTTTTGAAATATTCAGTGTAGTATTATTAACTACCAGAGGCCCAGTGCACGAAATTCATGCACTGGTAGGGTCCCTAGCAGCTGCAGGCTGCCAGCCTGGGCCTTCCTTTGTTCCGTGCCACCCCCTGGTGATTAGTGCTCATCATACCAAGTGATTGAATTCCTGAGGGGACACATTGCATATTACGCTTTTATATATAGAGACTAGAGGCCTGGTGCATGAAATTTGTGCACTCAGAGGGGGGTGTTCCTCAGCCTGGACTGCACCCTTCCACCGTCCACGATGCCTTCATAGGGAGTGGGCCTAAGCCATCAGTCAGACATCCTTAGTGCTGCGTGGAGGCGGGAGAGGCTCCTACCACTGCTGCTGCACTCGCCAACCATGAGCTTGGCTTCTGGCTGAGCGGTGCTCCTTCTGTGGGAGCACACTGACCACCAGGGGACAGCTCCTGCATTGATCATCTGCCTCCTAGTGTTCAGTGCGTGCCATAGGTCATTCGGCTGTTTGGTCGATTTGCATATTAGCCTTTTATTATATAGGATAATGTCTTATTATGGGCAAGGCCTCTAATTCAATTTTTTTTTAGGTAGTTAAAGGGAAGGGCAGAATTTTCACTTGAGCTTGAAGCTAAAAGTGCCCTTAGCTCAAAACTCTGCATACCACTGAGCCTCTTGGTGAGGCTCATTCTGAATCCCCACATTGTTCTATTGTGTATTAGGAATGATCTTATCTCTTTAGTAAAAGGAACCTTTTGTTATGTTACAATGACTAACTTTATCTCATGAGTTGTGTTTTGGCTTCAAACCTGTATCCAGTATTTATGCAGCAACTTCAGCTCTTCTTTTCTCTAAATCTCTCTAGATTTTTATGTATTAGATAGGAATAGCCCATGGACACAGTAGTCTGGCGAAGGCCTGGAAGGGACAGATTCAGGGTGGAGGAGATCAATGGGAAGAAAACAAAACTAAAAGAAAGGGACATCTGTAATACTTTCAACAATAAAGATACATTTTAAATAAAGGGAAATAATTGAAGGGAGTTTTATGTGAAATAATATAAGTAATTTCACTACACTGTGCTTTATATTCTCAGCTCATCTCAAAGAGATACTAATTGACCCTATGTTCACTGACTACAGGATGGACTTCTACCACACCAACCCAGCACTGACTGCAGGGCTGATTTCGGGTGAATCAGTCCAGCCTTCAGTCATTTTAGATGTTATGGACCCTGGCTCTTTATATATAGAGAAAATCATCAAACTGTACATTATATCCCCATGACTTATTTATGTTCTAACTGGATGTTTTTACCTTTTGATCTTCACCTATTTTGCCCCTAACCCACCCCCCTTCAAAAACAAACAAACAAAAAAACCACACAAAACTTCATCTGTGGCAACTACCATTCTCTGTATCTAATAATTTGTTTTTATGATTCCAAATATGAATAATATCATGTGGAATTTGTCTTTATCTGCATTTCCCTGATGATTAGTGATGATGGGTAAAACAAAACCCAACTGCTTGCATTTTATAAGAAGTACCAGGCATTATTTTTTAAAGCTAATCCAAGGATATATTTTACTGACTTTAGAGAGAGGATGAGGAGAGAAAGAAACATCGACATATGATAAAAACATCAATCCGTTTCCTCCCATATGTGACCCCACTGGGGATTGAACTCACGCTCTAGGTATGTGTCCTGGCCAGGAATTACACTGAACCTTTTGGTGCATGGGGTGATGCTCTAACCAACTGACCCAGCCAGGGCAGCACCAGGTATTTTAAATACTATAAAGACAAGGTTAAAAGGAAGAGAATGGAAAAAAAAAATACAATGTAGACTTTGACTTCTTCATATTCTAATCTTTTTTATTTATTATTCATTAAATAACTATAAGTTTATCATCTAGTAGGTGTCAGGTATTGTTAGTAAGTTAAAAAAAATCTAGCTACTTGGATTTTCCAACATTTTGGATTCTAGATAGGAAAATCTGATAATGTTAGGATATTTTCAAATAAATACTTGTTCCTAAAAACATCATGTTCTTAAAGGGGGGAAAAAGCCAATTGTACAACCTGATTGTTCAGTTAATTCTCTTTTTGTAGTTTAAATGTCTGCCAGGAAAAAATATAATACTTTTAATCACAGAGGTAAGCATCAATAAGCTTTAGTAAATCCTTTAATCCTGTCTGGATCTTTATAAGGAAGCATACAACAGTAATATTTTAAATATACTTGTTTGATTAAAATATTTGTCTCAATTCTTGTGATCTAGTCACTAATTCCTTAATTTACCACTTTAGAAATCATGTCACATCCACTTCTTTTCTGAATGAAGAATGGAATCTGATTTTTCCTCTTGAGCCCAGGATGTTGCTCTCAACATGTGGTGAATCCCTGTCAGAAGTGAATAAAAGCTTCATTAGATGATTCTTATAAAGAAAATTAATTTTCCTTTCTTAACCTACTTCACTTTATCATCACCTGAGTATAACTCAGAAAAAGGATTGTGATATTTGTTGACAGTGCTTTCCTGCCGAGAGGTTGCTCCAGTTAACTTGCTGATTTTTACAGGAAAATGCCTTGCCTAGTCTACAATTCAAGTAAGGCAGTGGCCAGGGATTGGACTGAGTAGTGATTTCAGTGAGGAAATCATGTTGGGACCAAAGTATTCTATGTAAAATGTATGATATTCTTAATGCTCATATTTAATATTTAATAAATCCAGTCCTGAAGGATAGTCTTTGAAATGCAAGTTCAGCTGCATGACTGGCATTTCTGTGTGCCACAATTAGAACTGTCAAAATGATCTCTTAAAATAGAGCCAGAAGGAGTTTGAGTGCTTGTTGTCTGGAGTTGTACCAGCATTACAGGGTTTCCTCAAAACATGAAGGAAGAAAAAAAATGCTTTCTGGTTGTAAGTATAGCACTATATATAACATATACTAGTGGAAGTGAACATATTTTTTCAAGGCTAATGATAAGATCTTTTTCACTAATTATCTAGATATTTGTGAATAAGCAGGCATAGCCAAAAATATCTATGAAGAAACACATAAACATTTCTGAAATTAATTTATAGAATAAAGAGGCCTCAGATATATCCTTTTAATATGGAAAAGAAAATTGAGTGATGTATGAAGAATCCTAAAATAATCATATATTTGACAACTACTTTTTTTTTTAGATATTCTTTTTTAAAAAATGTATTGTTGAATATATTACAGATGTTCTATTTTTGTTCTCCATTGACTCACTCCACCATGCTTCTTCTCCCCAGACCTTCACTGCACTATTGTCTGTGTCCATGGGTTATGTATATATACGTGTAAATTCTTTGGTTAATCTCTCCTCCCACCTATCCTCCTGCCCCCCTCTCCCAGATTTTAGGATTGCACTGAGTAAGTGAAGTAAGAAATGGCTCATAGGTCTCTAAACTTCTTTCTGCAAAACATTTTCTCAGATGATCAAAATCTAAAATCTGAGTTTCCTAATTCATACATCAAATTCTCATTATGCATTATTGCTAGAATCCCACCAGTTAGCCATGAAAAAACTGCAGTCTTTTACAAGATGTAGTTCTTGCATCAACTTCTTGCTCCTCCTTCAACTTATTGCCCCTTGCATTTGAAAAAATAATCCAGAAAATGTTATTAGAAGCTAGGTTCCTGAATGCCAGATTTAAAAATTCTGATAGGAATTCTGCAACAGATACTGTGGCAGCAACTTAAATATGTCAGTTATCTTCCCACTCATTTTAAGTAGGAAAATAATGAAAAATCTATACCATAATATCAAGTATTCTGCTCTAAGACTCATTTGCTCAAAAATCAGAAAGATCAAAGAGAAACATTGTCCCTGCAATATGTGGAATTTTAAAATG